AAAATTCTAAAGCAATAAGCGGATGATATTTTTGACATATTGCCTCGGTAGCACATGGTAAAAGATGAGCACACATCATCACAACAGCTGGTTATTCATTATGACTGAACAATTGTAGTGAATAGTAATTTAATTTATGACATTGTAATTACAACTTAGTTACCATGTAATAACACTGTTGTTACTAAATAATAAGCCTTACGATAGGGAATTGAATAATAAGCCTACACATTTTAGGACAGAGGGGGAAAAAGGGTGCAGAGTGGCACCATAAAAGAACTATGTCTGGTTACTTAAAAAACTTCCCAAAGATGGCTCTGGAACCATTTTTGTCAATGAGATGTGCAAGTGAAGAACCTACTTAAAGTTTAACAAACCTCTACGCAATGTAAAGGTTGTGCAACAATCAAGACTTTAAAAACCATTTAGGAACCTTAATTTTTAACTGCAGGAGCACTAAAATACAAATTAAACTGAACTGTGACCACAGATTTTTGTTTACTGTCGAGTCCTTGCTCATTGCCTGATGTAGTGGAAAACTGCATCTATGGCATGTCTAATTTCCCATCTTATTATCCTTTCTACAGGTGGTGTCTATGTCAATTTGACCCTCCATTTGTCACTTTGAACTAATTTTGATTTGCTTCAAGGCCTGTTCGGAATGGAAGAGCCATAGTCTTGGAAATTGAATTTCTATTTGTTAGCACAGAGTGAAATGGATGAATAAACCAGCGTGTCAAAACCTCAGTGCAAGGGCCGGAGGACTAGAAGGAACTTTGCTTTGCGTCACCTCTGGAGAAACAACTCCACCACCTGGGAAACAGCAGTTCTACATTACAACCAACATACATAGGTGGTCTTTAGGAAAGTAAAGAGAGAGGATTGACAGACTGCGTATGTGTAAGAGAGAGAAGGAGTTGGGAGGGAGTGGGGAATGCAAGCGTGGGCTCAGTGTACAACATAGGGAGGGATAAATGAGTTTGAATTATGAATTCTGGACCAGATCTGCTGCATTCCATCTGATTACGCACATGTGAAAGACAGAGAGAGACAGGGAGGGAGAGAGATGGAATAGCTGTAAGCTACAATTAAAATTATTTCATGATGTCCTTCACTATGAGGTAGGACTACATTATATAGCAGTGTTTACTCTATGCCCTGCACTAGGCTTACTCGAGTAGCTGATCAACTAAATTAGGCCTCCAAAATATATTGTTTCTTAATCGTTATGGCAATATTGATGGTTTTTGCACATGAGCCCACTAATCACTAAACGTTTTATTGGGCAGTGTGAGCATCCCAACCAATCACAGTTCCAGATCTGGATCAATCAAGGGGGGAGGTTTGATCCAACAACCATAAATCCAATCCAATCCAATAAAAGTACATTTCACAAATAAAATAGTGCATTTCCATCTGTGAACCAATAAAGAGTTCCTCAGTGCGATTTTTAATATGTTGTAAGGCATATCGCAATCACAGTATGAAGCAATATCATTTTACTACGCTACCCATATCATGCAGGCCTAAAGCCGCAAAAAAAGGATTCTTCAAAGACTAGCCACTTTCAGTTCCCTAAAGAACCTTTCACTTGGGTGGTTTCACTTACATTCCAGAACCAGCAACTAAAGGGCTCGCTGGGGAACCAAAAGTGGTTTGTCTAAGGCATCACTTCAAAGAACCCATTCTGGCGCCTTTATTTTCAGAAGTGCAGGCTTTTATTCAGTTAATAACACCTATTAATCCCACCAGTGGGTCCAAAGTGTTACAATATACTTTTATAACCTAAGAATAATTTAATGTGTAAATTATTTGGTAATTACTATGTAACTAACATGTAATGCATGTAGTTATGGGACCGAGGAGTAAAATTGTTCATTCCTAAAGAACAGGCATCTGTTCTGTAATTAAGATTCTGAGAAACAAGATCAAAATGAGATTTGCCTTCAAAAGTCAGGAATAAAGTTAGAATGAAGCACTGCAGTGGTGCAGTGCAGTCAAATCATCTCATCAATAAAAAATGCAGGCTAAAGCAAATCCAGATCTTTTTAAATCTCATCTTCAGATAGGAATTGAGATAAGAGGGCTCTCTACATGCATTAACCTCACTACAAACAAGCGCTCGGATTGCTTTTCATATATTCAGAGAAGGCTTTGAGGCTTTGAGAGACCGCCTCTGTCCCAGGTGCCTCCTCAGCCTGTGCAATGAGGAAGAAAGCAATTAAACAACCACACACAGGCAAATCAGACATCTTGCTTTTTTGGTGTTCTATGTGCATTTAAATAGCGTGGACTTAGACGGTGCCACTGGGGTCGTGGAGAAGAACATCCCCCCACAGTTTATTATCCTTCCTGTGTTTCATTTTTCCCCAAAGCAAAATTGCTTGAGACGAGCGAGCGCCTTTCAAAAAATGAGCAGCTGCCTCTGATGCGGAACGGCACTGTAGAACACTGGATTATAATGGATTGGACAAGGACTTAAGCTGGGTTCTGTCTCTTGTTTAAGCAACTGAATTGATTTTACTGTGTGCTAAACTTCAAGAACAATGAGCTGGGAGATACGCATCAAAGACATGGACCTAGGAATGAGACGCGTGTCTCCCTGAGGAACGTCATAGACCCATAACAGAGCACATCATAATTTGATATACAGAATCTGGCAACTCGGAGCATCAAGCCAGCTCAAAAAGGACAAATCCATGATGGAATCTCACCCAAGGGTCCATATGTGGGCCCACAATTTACTCACTGTCATACCTACACAATTCACATATCAGCTTCAGAATAGAGTGAATAATTCATAGTATCTACAGCCTAATAAGTCTCAAGATTAGCACACTTAGAATTTTAGAGGTAAAAGATTAAATTCTGTACTTTAAACTGGTTCAAAAAAGGTTTCTAAATGGTTCTTGGCTTGGATGTTCAGTTCTATGAAAGCATAGAACTTTTACATTATGTGCAAGCTCTTTAAATTTTAGAAAGTTTCTTCTCTCATACATCCTCTTGTCCTATTGCAAGGTTCTTTATGGAACAAAAAGTGTTTGTACCAAAGATCCCTCTTTGGAACTTATATTTTTAAGAGTATAGGTTCCCAAAGACTGGGATTGAGGCTCAACTTCCTTAAGCCACTGACTGTCCAATAGGAAAAGAGACCGAACTTGCAATCTCCCAACAATAGAGCCAACGCTTTGATGGTGGCACCACTTAAGCCTGCTAAGCTGCCTACTGGGATGGTGTGCTTCCTCCAAGATATGTGAAGCCAGCCATCTCCTTTTTGAACTGTCACTAATGGAACATCATTGGAAGACTCAACATGATTGTAACCTAACTGCCAATTTCCACGTTGGCTAGCAGATGTCTGAATAATGGGGAGAAAGGGAGGGCCATCCTACCCACCTATGGAAAGTGAGACCAACTATGCCACATACGGCTGTGGCACCACTGGCAACTGAACTTGCAATCTCCCAACGATAGAGCCAGGGTTTAGATTGCATTGTTGCTTGGGAGGCTGGGGTTAATTAATAATTCAAGATATCTCAGTTGTGAATTATAACAAGTAATTATAAGAACTGATAAGTTCTCACATCTCATTTACAAAAATGATTCTTTAAAGAATCACTAGAAAAAAAGTAGTTGTATCAAAGGACTGGGATTGAGGATCAACTGCCTTAAGCCACTGACTGTCCAATAGGAGAAGAGCCTAGATGTCCTGATTTATAAAATAACCACAGGGTCCTGAGTGGTTCCACTGTATAAGCGTTGTGAATTTGGACACAAGTAATACCACAGCCATACATGGCAAAACTGACCTCGCTTTCTCTAGGTGGGCAAGATAATCCAGCCCAGGGGTGCACAACTCCGATCCTGGAGGGCTGGTGTCCAGCACAGTTTGGTGATTTACCTGCTTAAACACACCTGATTTAACTCATCTGTTAATTGCCAGATTTAATGAGTGCGTTTGACTTAGAGAACTACCAAACTGTGCTGGACAACCGCCCCCCCAGGACCGGAATTGTGCACCCCTGGTCAAGCCCCATGCTGGCAAACTTGGGCATCAGTTAGCTGACATAACAGAATTGGCAGTTAGTATTCTCCTCCGAACGTGTTGAGCTGTCTAATGACTTTGCATTGGCAGCAGTTCAAAAAGGTGGCTGGCTTCACATGTGTCGGAGGAAGCACATGCTCGCCTTTACTCTCGGCAGCATTGTGTGATGAGAGCTAATGGGTGGAGACTGGCCATATAGAAAGAGTGTGCAAAAACATAAAATATTAAAAATAAATAAATAAATAAGTAAATAACACCCATGTCCTTGGCCATGTGCATCATAGCACTTGGTGGTCGGAGGTTCAACCGTTGTCTTCACTTCTACGTAATGTGTTGGACAAACTGTCCCAAATCGTTTTCCGAACAATCTCTCCATGATTACTTTTCATATTTAAGGGGTTTGGGTTAAACAATAAACAATAACAGAAACATCACAACCATGCATGCTAATCAATAATGACTGTACCATTTTGTAGCCATTATGTAGGTGACCTAAGACAAGAGTGCTCTCTTATTCATAGATTGTATCATGCAATGAACAACATTACATCACAGTAGGAATAACAGGGTATCTACATGATTTTCCTATGCAGCACAGTGTCTGAGGGTAGATTGTTTTCTACGTATCTGTCCATAGTTTTTTTTGTGAAGTTCCATGTGAGCATCAGTCTGAATGAGCTCTACGACTTGCACTGAGGTTCAGCCTCTGCACTCTTGTCTTATGTTGATACTTTAGGCATCCTCCTTCATGCTTTGTTACTTTGGAAACACGAACAACTATTTGAAGCTACCTCCCAACACAGAAAGTCTAATAACAGCAGATAATCACCAGCTAAAGCATGCCGTATAGACTGAAAACACAAGAACATAACCAGAGACAAATCTCACAACAAAACAGTGCACTTAACAAGCAAACTTCGCCGTAATGATCCTGGACGAGTCCCACATTTAAGACTTAGCATGGTCCCACCGTGCTAACAGTAGTGTAGCTAAATTTCGACATGGATGCTGCAGTGACCCCGGTGACGTCCTCGTCACCGTCCCTCCTCCTGCGGCGCCGACATGGCAGACTGCAGCAGGCAAAGGTGGCCAGCAGAGCCTTTCTGAAGCGCTTGTTCATGAAGCAGTAGATGATGGGGTTGACGCAGGCGGAGGTGTATGACAGCAGCTGGATGAAGGAGATAGGAGCTCCTGAGAGGGCTCGCTTTGCCGAGAGCTGGTCAAAGGCTCTCCAGGTGTTTGCTGCATAGAGGGGCATCCAGCAGACGAAGAACATCACCACGATGATGATCAGCATGCGGATCACACGTTTTTTGGCAAGCAGTTTGGCTTCTGAGGTGTTGCTACGCGGCCGGTCTGTCTTGGGGGCTGAAGTGCTAAGGGTGGACAGCTCCATGGCTGGACCCTTCTTGGGCACCTGGATGTAGCAGCCATCACCATCATCGTGACCACGGGATACAGTGCCATTCATTCCATTTGCCAGTACTGTGAACAGAAATGAATAGCAAGAATTGAAGAAAAGAATTTATTATTATTGTTCCTACTACTCATTGACCTCAAAGAGTAGGGTCTATAGACAGATTGTACGATGTAGGGAAAAAAGTTGGCTGAATGCATGGATGTATGTAAATGAGCTGGTTCTTGTGACATCACGGAAAATGGGCTGTTTTTGCAGCACAATTTCCATATATAGACAGTACGGACTGTGAAGTGAACGCTATGTTTTGAAACTTTGACAATGTTTTCATAGTACTTCAAACTCTATTGCACAAAAGGGGTATACGGTATATTATATGGGTCCTTTAAAGGGTATGCTTCCATGGCTCATCCTTCCTAATATGACAATGTACTTTAGGAAAGAAATATTAATGAAAATTATTGATGCAGATCTTTATTATATATTATATGTGTGCATACACATCCCAAATGGTCTCTTCATTAAGCATACCTCCTTGTTTCTGCACTCACCCATTGTCCATTTTATTAGCTCCATTTACCATATTAGGCACTTCATCGTTCTACAGTTGCAGACTGTACTCCATCTGTTTCTCTGCTTATTTTGTTAGCCCCCTTTTACCTTGTACTTTAATGGTCAGGGCCCCCACAGGACCACCACAGAGCAAGTATTATGTGCATCATTCTCAGCACTGCAGTGACATGGAGGTGGTGTGTTAGTGTGTTTTGTGCTGGTATATAAGACACAGCAGTGCTGATGGAGTTTTTAAACACTGTGTCCACTCAGTGTCCACTCTATTAGACACTCTTACCTTGTTGGTCCACCTTGTAGATGTAAAGTTTCTGCACAGTTTGTGCACACAGGAAGCTGCCCACAGGACGCTGTTGGCAGGATGTTTTTGGTTGATGGACTATTCTCAGTCCAGCAGTGACACTTAGGTGTTCAAAAACTCCAGCAGCACAGTGAGTGTAGAAACAAGGTGTACATAATTAAGTGGCCAGTCAGTATAAATTGTATGTAATTACAAAATATGCTGACACAGAACTGAAAAGTTCACATTATATAAAGCGTACATTCTACCATCTTATGATCATATTTACAAAATTTACAAAAGCGCACTCACACATAAGATGTTTATTTTTTTTTTTTGTGTTGTATCTGCTTTGCTCTTCAGTACCCAAAGCACAACCTATGCACATGAACAACACAATTAGTTTAACATTGCTTAAACATACAAAGACTCAATAGCTACAGAAATATCTACAGTTTTGAACAAATAAACATAAGTCAACATATACACAACTAAATAAATGCAACTAGTTTACTGATACAGTCTCAGCCATCTGATCTGGCATAGCTTGAATTTATAAACAGTGGATTTCCATTTTTATTAGTCTTTCTTCAAGAGTGTTTCTGTTTTAATTTTTAATGTGAATGATCTATTTTCTATTTATAAGTATTTTCTTATTTGTAAAGCTCTTTGAATGACCACAGTGTATGAAAGGTGCTATATAAATAAACTTGCCTTGCCCTGCTTATAAGCTTATTAATTATTAAAACTGGCCATTTTCTGACTGGGCTTCTTGGGGATACAGGCCAGCTTAAAAGGTACAAAAAAAACAGACTTCTTACATTTTCTGGACATTATTTCATTTTAATGGTTCATATAAAAAATGCGTATTTATCTTGCAGGAGAGATTGATCCTTAATTTCATTGTATCACTGAAAGTGAAACATCCATATGAAAAACTATTTATTTACTTTATTTGGATTTATATGGGCCTCTCTGGGATGGGGGTATTTCCCCATATAATCACAGTAATAACTAAACATATTATCTCCAAAATGTTATTTTATTGTGAAAGGAAATGTTTCTTCAATGAATTTATGCTAACATTAATATAATAAGGTTTTAGTTCAGTCATTTTAGGCCAATATTGCTTCAAAATTGGTTATGAATTGTTCACACAATGTAACATCAATGTAAAAGGCAGCTTGGTAGCATGGTCCAGAGAATCAATCACTCATTTATAATGACAATATACTGTAAACAGCATACAGGAACTAGATGCTATATCACTGTTTGAGATTATAACTAACCCAGGGCTCAAATAAGGGCTCAGTGAAATATTAAATGACACACATGAACACAAGGTAGAAAAAAACTAAAAGACTAAAAACAAACATGAAGAATATTAGCACATCTTCAACAGCAAATTTACTTTAGCGAATGTACATTAGCTTAAAAAACATTTACAGTGTTGTGCATATGTGGTTTAAGTCCAGTCTGACTGTGAATAAGAAGTGTTTGAAAGACAGCTCGAGGGAACAGAGTATGTAGCTGTTCCACTATAATCCTTTTCAAAGTGACAAGCCTGCTTCTTCACCCTCAATGACCCGGCAGACCTTACACAGTACAGCACAACAGAGCTATCCTTAACAGCTCGATTAGCACTCAGATCCAAACCAATGTTTTTTAGCCTTTCTTTGTGAGAGTGCTGGACCAAGCAGTAAAGAGTGTGGACCTGAAAAGCCTTAAAGAGAAGCCTTAGAGACGAAAGCCCAGCCAATTCACCTTCCAGCCGCTTCACCATGCAACCGCTCAACAGTACCCAGCAAGAAGGGCTAAAAGGACCCCATGATGAAATTCTCTGGACCGAGCGCTTGGCACATAAAAACCTTTCACAAAACAACAAGACTGGCAGACAGGATCACCTAGTGAGAGCACAAAACCCCAAATGGGACTTTTTGTGCATCTACAGTGGTTGAAAAGATCTGATCTATGGCTTCACTGACAGCTTAAGAAGTAGTTAATAGGTATTGAAGGGTATCTGTAATACCCATTTTTGTTCTTTTAACATTATTGACCCTATTGACCCAGTAAGATGTAATTTTTGGAAAACTTCATCAATAAAAACACTGATCCTGACATCCTGACATTGCACAATCCTTCTTGTGAGCCTCACAAATGTCATTTCCATATTTCTTGGACACAAGTTATGAACATTTTTGTTTCACTACTCCCAGTCATTTCCTAGCAGTCACCATGGCATTTTCTCGTAGGTTCTGTCAGTAAGAATGTTGTATTCTCTGTTATTCTATAGATTAATCAAAAATGGTTGCAACGGTCATTTTCAAAAGACATTTTTGTATGACGGCTAATCCTTGTAAAAGGCTCATTTCATTTACTAAATGATTTTGTACTAAACTGATTTTTTCATCATTTTTTTTTTTATCTTTTATTTCTAAGAATATTTCATCACTTGATAGGCCCCTTCAATACATATCTCATTTTTCCCATTTCATGTGCGGTTGAGAATTTGATATCAGTTGTCATAGGCATGCTAATCTGTCAACTTTCTGTAACCACTGACCTACTGATCTTGTGATAGTGTAAGCTGTATTTTGTAATTTCGAAAATATATGACAGAAACATACATCTTCAGGCATTCTAAATCAGCAAACTAGCAAAATACTACGGCCAATCCATGCTTGCTAGCAAATATTAAGTGTTGCTTGATTAATGGATTGAGACTAATTAACTAACTAACTAACTAACTATACAAATAAAAAAATATGGATTATTCTTTTTTCATTCATTCTAGTACCTCTTTGCTGAGCAAGTTAAAGAAAAGTTCTAATGCATCTGAACAGTACTGAATTCCATCTTTCTTTACTGTGCATGTACAAATAAAGCCAAATTAGCACAACTGAAACATTAAATCAAGATCATTATGATTAAATGACAAAATGAGTAGTCATTTGGTGATTTTGATTCAAATAATGATTAAATTGAAGATAAAGATTAAAACAAGATACCTATTCTTTAAAGAAAACCATAATAATATCAGCATGTGTCATTTTTACCTCTTTTAAGCATCTGTGTAGGTTTTTTTGGGTCAAGCATTCTAGGTTTAGTTAGGAAAAATATCAACTATGTTTAACTTAATTTAAACATGCCTCTAGCTCAGACCAACTATAAATATTAACAATTAGCTAGTTCAAGCTAACTAATTTAAAGAGTATTTTTGTAGTTAGCACTGGCTAGTACTAGGTTTGTTAAATAGCATCATTGGCTAGTGCTAGTTTAATAGCATCAAAAATAAGTTGGCCTAAAGTTTTATTTCACTTCTAGATCCTAACAATAACTCAGCCAATTTGCTTTGAAGTCACTGTAGTTACTGAATAATAGGCCTGAGTGTGTTGTAAGCCTGGGATTTTAGGGGGTTAACTTATTTTTTACCCCAGGAGGGGTCTCAATGTGGCCCTGGCCACATAGGTGGTTAACCTCATAAAGTACCACATTAAGACCCCTCCTGGGTTTGTTGTTTGCAGTCATGCCTACAACATGAAAAAAGTTGTTCAGGATGAAATCAAAGCAATGCTCAATGTAGAAAAGTCAAACAACGACTGGCGCAGCCCCGTGGTGCTTGTTCACAAGCCCAACAGCACTGTTCGGTTCTGTGTTGGCTATAGACAAGTAAATTTGGTGTCTAAATTTGATAATTATCCATGCCACGTGTTGAAGAACTGCTCAATCAACTAGGCGCTGCTCACTTTTATTCAACACTGGATTTAACCAAGTGATACTGGCAGATCCTCTTGACACCAGTATCGCAAAAAAAAAAGCCTTCTCCACTCCGTTTGGATTACGCCACTTCGTCACACTCCTGTTCGGGTTGTTTAGAGCCCTGGCCACAGGTCCGGTCTCAATGGACTGAATCAGACTGAAGGCAAAACTTAGATGACATCATCATTTATAGTAATGACTGGTAGCGATGCGTGCAGCATTTGAGGGCAGTACTGAAGTCCTTGAGATGGGCAGGGCTGACAGCAAATCCGAAGAAGTGTGCTGTTGGATGGTTGGAGGTACAGTATCTGGGCTTCCACTAGGGTTACAGACACGTTTGTCCCCAAATTGAAAAGACTTGTGGGGGAGAGGGTGCGAGGGGTGGTTCCAGAGGCTGGCAGTTGGGGTATGTGGCAGCAGGGGTGTGGTCAAGCGCTGTCTGTGGAGTGAAGAGCTGCTTTTGATGTGAAAGCGGACTGATTAGTCATGACGTCCACCTGTGTGCAGGTGTCTCTCTGCCTACTAATACATTTCTTTTTCACTCAGTAGGTGCTTAGAGACCAAAGAGAGGGGAGCCACGAGGCACAGCAGCAAGACGAGTCTGAAAGAACTGAAAGTTGATGGTCTTTATGTCTGTTGGGAGCGATAGGCTCAAAGCTCATGTTTGATTTCTTTGATTTATGTTGTTAAATAAACGGTACTCTGCACTCCTGCCTCCGCTGTTCTCCTTCCTCCACATTACACTAGGGTCTCAGTTACATTTTCCATTTTGGTCAGAGCTCCCTTTTAATGAACTGCCATTCCACCTAATGCTCTGCTGCCAAATGAAATGTGTAGCCTACACTTCTCACCTTTGACCTAAAAATTGTTTCAAGAACAGTAAAGAAATTGAAGAGTGGAGTCAAACCCACCTATTGGGTTTTTAGACACATTAATTAAACACAAATATAATCAATAGAGTGATCAATAACTAAAATAACCCTAAAACCGAGTAGGCCAATATGATTAGGAATTCACTTCAAGGTAAGACATCAATCCATTGGAGATACAGTACAAGGCATCCTAAATCAATAATGAGGCTTTTGGGTTTATTGGTATTGATGTAGAAGTCTTTAAAAGAAACGGTTGGTCTGATTCTTACCACTACTGTCTTTCTTCTGCTCCAGCTCAAACTGAATCCCTCGATAGAGCTCTCTGGAGATGAGGCCATAAGCGATGGTCATTACCCCACCTGGGATGAAGAACAGAATAAACAGCAGTAGGACGTACCTGAGAGAGAAAGAAAGCAAAAAAAAGACAGAATATTGAAACAATAGACCCAAGACTTACACTGAGCTCTTGAGCAGACAAGACAAATGCAAGCAATTATCAGATACAGTACCTGCCTTTCAACTGACTGAGTTATGAGACTTAATACATTCATTCACTGATTGCAAAGGGCTTTTAAAAGGCTTCTTAAATTAGTGCAGCCCTCAGTCTCCCTCAAGCATCGAATTTGCAGAGATAAACAAATGCATTGGCCCCAAGAGAGCATTACAAAACCGAACAGTTCAGCACTACAGTGCATCTGCAATGTTCAGCGGACGTCCTACAAGATCGAAAAAGATAAAAGAACAGTCAGAACATCTGCTGGGCCGGGGCAGAATCATGTTGCACATGTATAAAAAAAAAAAAATTACAAAGTGAGTTGATGTTATTATTTCATTGTGGTATTATTCAAATGACAGCGTGGGAGTGTTGCCTGAAAGCATCTTCCGCTGGTCCTTTTACGCTCATCTTTTTCATCTCTCAGACGCCTTTGTGATAGTGGCACCCTTCACCACTGCATTTATTCCATATCAAAGACACCCGTCATTCCGCTCCGTACGTAGCTTTCAAATTCATCACTGGGGTGAAAGCAATCAAAGCAAAAACTCCATCTCAGAAAGGCTTCAGGAAGTGGCCGTGTGATTGGGGTGGGAGATGATCACCGGCCATCCGGAAGCTTCTTTTTCTTTTGTGTTTTTAAGTCTCTTTTTATGGATAAGCGCAAATCCTTGTAATATCCTAAGGTATTTCAGGAACACTGTAGTGCATTCAATACACTACGGACAAACAAAGTACAGTACTTTGCAAAAGCCAGAGAACACCTTTTTATTTATTTAATTTCCAGTCAAAATGGCCATGAAGTACAAGTTATTCTTTTTCAGCATCAGGAAAAATAAAGTCGAAAGCATGTATTTACAAACAAGCTTCAGTAACTAATTATAATTTTAAGCTGTTGAAGAAGTTACGTCCTCTATGGGACATCTATATCTGTTGGCTATATCTTTTTAATTAAAAGTATTTCTTAAAAGCTGGGGTTGGGTAAAGAGTGGATTCACTAATGGTCAACACTGTTACTCCATTATCAATAAATTAAAATTTATGCAAAGGCAATTGCAAAGATACCATGTGCTAGTGAGCTCTAAGCTTCCATGTTTTATATTACTTTTTATATTATATTTTATAACTCTAACAGTTTTGGTTAAACAGTGCGGTACTGATATTGTTATATAAGACGTTCATAAGATGTTATTCTTATGTTAGAGGTTAAGTTTGTATACATTTGACATGTTTTTGTTGTTCTAACCATGATGCTTTTTTGTGATTATCATTACAGCCTGTGTTGCTGTAATAATCAATAACTACTGGTGTGTTATCTGTGATATTTCAGCCAATATTAAAAAAAAACTGGTTCTCCCTCAGTCCAGCAGTGACACTGAGATGTTTAAAACCTCCAGCAGCACTGCTGTGTCTGATCCACTCGTACCAGCGCAACACACACTAACACACCACCACCATGTCAGTGTCACTGCAGTGCTGAGAATGATCCGCCACCCAAATAATATCTGCTCTGTGGGGGTCCTGGTTAGTGAAGAACAGGGTGAAAGGGGGCTAACAATGTACACAGAGAAACAGATGGACTACAGTCTGTAATTGTAGAACTACAAAGTGCTCCTATATGGTAAGTGAAGCTGATAAAATGGAGAGTGAGTGTAGATATATGGAGGTGTATCAGTGTATATGCTCACAGGTATTCATAATTATGGAATGACTCAAAAACGGATCCTACTTCACCGCTTTTCTTAACTTCAAAACAACACTAGGGCATTTTAATAGAAGTGCTGCATTACATGGTTGAAAGGTCTTTGTTTGATGAACCTTTCAAAAAATCTATCATACTTTTTCTTTCTCTATTTCATCACAGATTGAAAAATGAGAAAAAAAATATCAACACCATTAAACTTTCTTCAAAAGGCTTTTTAATGGTCTTTCCCCAAAAGTTGAAGACATTTCATCTAGAAGGTCAAGAATATCATTTTGTGCACAGTAAGGGGTGCATGTTAACAGCTTTCTATCTCTATCATTAGAGGCATTACTACGACTACCTTGAGAGTTCCTTCTCCTTAGCACGCCCGCTAATTACTTAGGCTTGTGACACTTAGGGGTCTCTCTAATCCTCTATGGTCTATTTTACACAAAGGCATCTGAAAGGGTGACATTAGATAATACAGGCTCTGAGGGAGGGTGAAAAATCAAAAGATAGAATTCTGACAGCTTCCAGAGTGTCGTCTCCCGTAGACTTCTGTCTTCTGCCCTGAGAAAACGCTCAAAGATGCCAAAGATTCATTTAATTGCTCTGCTTTTCCATCCTGCTTTTGCTTGGGGTGGGTTTTTGACAGACTTAACTGGTGAGCCATTCAGAGCATGGATGGGGGCGATGAAATAAAGGATCCCTGCATGGTTAGACAAGATTTGCTGCTGGATTTTGTAAATGTCTGTGAGAGGTCTTCATTTTTCTAAAGGAACTCGCTGGAGGCACTTCCTATGTCTTTCATGAGCAATTTAGCAATATTGTGGGCTAAATGGCCATGTCATCCTAAATAGATTATGTTTAACCCAAAAAACACAGGTTCATAAATTATATATTACAAAATGATTAATAATTCATTATTTTACTACCTAAAATGATCTAGCAGTCTAAAAAAAAACAAAAAAGACAAACAGATACACTGTTTAAAATTGTTTCAAAAAAGTTTCCTAAATAAAAGTTCTTGTTTAGTTTAGTTTATGTGAGCTTCTTTGTAATTGTATGTCTGATTGATAAAATAGTTCTTTAAAGAACCACCAATAAAAGGTTCTTTGGGGAACTAAAAGTGGTTCTTCTGCATTTAGCATGTGCAGAGGTTACAAATCACTGGTCTAATGTCCCTCACTAAAACAGTGAAATAGTTCCACATGGCCATCATTTTCACAGGTTCTATGGCAGTACTCCAAAGAACCTTTCTAGCAAAAACAAAACAAAACCATTTTTAACATTCAGTCATTAATCTGAAGCTAAACTCCAACAGGCTATTAATTAGGGATGCAACAAATTTTAGCCACCAAATTTTGCTACCAAAAAAAGTAGCACATTTTTCAGTCTTTTCCCAAAAGAAAAAAAAACGGCCTACAACAAATAACTGCATACATTACAAATAACTGGAATACTATAGAAAATGAGAAAAAGGGATTAAAAAACTGTTTTTTTGCTTTCCTGTGCTGGTCAGTACATATGCATTGAAACAGTGAGCATCAGCAGATAAACAGCGAAAATGTCGGCCATGTGGAACTTGAGAAAATGAGGGACATTAGGTCAGCGATCTGTAAGTATTACAACAAAAGAAAACTGTTTCTATGAGGGACATCAGACCAACTATTTGCAACCTCTGCGCATGTTGAATGCCACAGAAGAACCACTTTTGTTTGTTTTTGTTTTCTTAATTATGTTAAGGTTTTCAAAATCTTTTTCTAAATCTAAAAAGTTTATTCACACTCATAAATCTTATTTTCAACCATGTTTTTTTGGGGAACCAAAAGTTTGCATTGCTTAAATTTGCAAAATTTCATCTACTGCACAGCTTTAACGACCACTAAAGCCACTTTTGAGTGTACAGCTCCCAAGAACCTCCCCACTGCAGGTCTGATACCATTTGAAAACATAACATCCTGCTCTACATGCAGAACACAGCAAAACAACAGACGCAACAGAAACAGAAAGGAAAGTCTGTGGTAAACAAAGCCAACTGTAGCCACAGTTTATCAATGATGAAAAGCGCACAGATCACAGAGCTAAAGTACACAGTATAACAGATCAGTCTCTCTTGTCGAGCAAGAAGTCACCACAAAACATGTCCAAAAACAGATGACCTTGTCAGGAAGAGGCCGTTTGACATAAGAAACAAGTGCCTTGTAGAGGAGGCAGCTGTGAAAATCCTACAGATGTTAATCTTGCTCTAAAATGCTTAGTTTCATCATGTCCAGTGCAGCTGTTCACTACTGCTGACAAGAATTTAACTAGAAAAATCCAGACAGTTGTGGCCAGCTTGGTGTGTTTCTGTGTGAGTGAAGCATCTGAAGCTGAGACTAGATTTCATGGCACATACTGCAGCCTATGTACTGTAATAATTATAGTATGTCTATCTGGCAGTAACTTTTTATTCATCAGCTCCGTTTTGTTCAATCAAAAGCAGATTATATCATTACTAAGTATTTTTTTCATTACTTTGTAGCTTTTTATTTACGTTTATTATGCGCATTCAGAAGTATACATAAAACCGGAAATTATATTTAAAAAAATCGGTTTTGGTCAAGAATTTCCATTTCACTGCTTCACTAATGAGCATCCCAATTAGCCATTAAGTGAACTTACCAGATCTGCTCCACTTGGCTCATGGGCCAGTCTAGACGGCACATGTGGGCGGTGGTATTGTTGGGTTTGTGAAAGGACACCAGCGTGCTGAAGACCGGGTATGGAACCATGATGCTCACAGACAACACCCAGGTTCCAGCGATGACTTTGTAGGCATGTGAGCGGGTCTGCCACGCCCTGGATGTCAGCGGGTTGCAGATGGCACTGTATCTCTCGATTGCTATGGCAACTAGACTGAAGGTAGAAATGCTCACCGAGATACCTGTGAAGAATTGTGGGAGGTGAGACGGAAGTATGAGACATGTGAATGATGTGTACTGAAAACAAAGTCACAGAAACTCCACTGCACAAGATGCTCTGACATACAGGGCTAAATCAGCGTCTGGTAAAACTAAAGCTATTAACTGCTTGATTCATAAAGAGCTACACTGAAGGTATAAAGCCAAAGGTTTGAACACACCTACTTATAGAAGAGTTTTTCTTCTGGTTTAATATAGTACTCTGCAAAAATTAGGGGTGTTAATATCTAGTTAAAATGGCCATTAAGTACAGGTTATTCTTTTTTCAGGAGGTACTTGTGAGGATATTAGATTAGATATAAAATAACCCACTTGCATTAGGAACAGGAAAGTCGAAGGATATATAAAAAAGTTTTAGTTTTCCAAACTAGAGTTCAAAAAATGTGACTCCTAACGACCATGCAAAACCTGGTAGACCTCCCTAACTATCAGATAAACAGTACTTAAAGCTTAGTACTTAAAAAAAGAGGAGAAAATCAAGCACCACACTTTTACAAAAGATGGTTTTTCAAGGGTTCTTTAGTAAAGAAAAAGGTTCTATAAAGAGCCCTGAACACCCAAAGTACCCTTTGCATGATTAATTGATGGATGATTGATGATTACAAGCTTGACATCGTAACAACAGAAGAACCCTTTTGGGTGCTATATATAACCCTTTTTTCCTTCAATCATGCAAAGGGTTCTTTGACTGTTATAGCTTTTTAGAGAACCCTTTTACTTTACTAAAGAACCCTTGAAGCAACAGAATGCACTCTTGATTCAGATCCAAAAAAAAACCCCACAGGTGTTTCTGTCCATCCTTCCACTGTAAGAAGACAACTCAACACTATGAGTCTGAAAGGATGTGTAGCTGTCGAGAAGCTGTGACTGAGAAAAGGAAACGGACAAAAAAGAAGAAAATGTGCACTAGAACACTGAACTGGACACCTGAGGGTGTGGAGTAAGGTTTTATAGACTGATGAGTCTAGTTTGAAATTCAAATTACTTGGATCAAAGAAGAAAATGCAACCAACTTCTAATGAATTTTGGAGGTGTAGAAAAACATCCCTGCAGATTTCTTTGAAAAACTGAAAGCAAGTCTCCTCAAAGGAATAGAAGCTGTAAGAAAGTTAAAGAGTGGACACATTGAATACTGAAAAAAATGACATTACATTTAGTTGTTGAGGCTTGTGTGTCATTTTCTGACAAATACAGGTTTTCTGCTTATTTTCTGACATTGAAAAATAACTTTAATTGCCTTTTTAACTGGATACTGAATAAACAAAGAGTGGTCTCCTACTTTTGCACAGCACTGTTTTTCCAGTTTAGAGTAATAGTGAGGAAAGCAGAACTATGAAATAGCACATATGGAATCATGCAGGAACCAAACGTGTTAAATCAATCAAAACTAACTTCGTATTTAGATTCTTCAAACATCTAATTTACATGAATAATTCCTTGAAGAACCTTCAGTGGAAAGTTTCTTTGAGGAACCAAAAGTGGTTCTTCTATAGCATCGCTCTAAAGAACCCATTGTACTGTTTTCTAGAAGAATCTTTTTCCAAGAAAATGTTTGATACATCGTGTTTTGTTGTTATTGACAAGAAGCTCAGTGCTCCATGGCTTTAATTTTCTGACAAAGAGCAGGCCGCTGGACTGACAGCAGCAGCCAAACGATGTTTGCATATATGAATATGTATATCATGCGGAGGGCTTGCTCCACCATTAATTCTGCAGGGCTGTCGGGTAAAAAAACAAAGTTTTATAAATAAATGAATAAATAAATAGATAAATAGATAAAAAAAATAGCCATCTATTTGGTTACCAGTCACAGTGTCATTGAGCATGTATCGGTTAGAAGTTGCTTCCTTAATCTGTCTTATTCAGTCAAATATAAGTCAATAAACAGGTACTCTGTGACCATTTAATTGTTATCCTGCTCACTCAACTTCTGTCCACAGATAGACATCCTAGATAAAATATGCACCGCTATACAAACTGAACTGAATGGAACATCTCATGGTGTGCATCTAGTATTTGTACAGTACTATGCAAAAGTCCTGCCCTTTATTTACTTTAATTTCCACTCATTCCACTCTACGGGCATTAAGTCAAAGGAAAATGAGCAACAAAACAAGAGTTTTCAAACTGGAGTTGAAAGCATGCTAATATATATACAGAGAAAATAGGACTCATAACAACTGTGCAAGACCCGGTAGACCACCAAAAACACCAAAAAAAATATTATGACTTTATTCTTGAAGTCTACTATTTTTTTTTTTTAAACAGTGGCCTTAAAATGCTGTCGTAGAGGGCTCCTGAAAAGAAGGCAAAGGCAAGTCGTGAACACAATAAATACTGAAATAAACTGAAATGGACTTTTTCCATGAAATACCTTTTCTGCTTTTTTCCTGATGCTAAATGAATGATTTGTACTTAACAGCTGGTTGGACTGGAAATTAAATAAATGAAAGGTAGTCTATAGCAAATGGGTGGGGCCTAGGCAACCAAATTTGATATAGAGCTGCACCTACACTAATGAGTTTCCAGCCATTTCAGATGGATTTCCTATAGAAGCTCCTCCATTAATCATCTCTGATTACACAAGTCTGGGGTGGGAGAACATATTTTGGAGACCTGGCATTGCAGAAATGTTCTTCATAAGCACAAACTGTTCTTTGTAGCTTGTGATTATTGCAGTATATTGCTTTTTCATATATTGATTTGGGTCTTGGGACTTTTAGGTCTGAGTAATGCACTATTTTCAATCACTTCTGAGAAAGTGCATCTGAGAAAGGTGAAGCCACTGCCTTGGAAATGAACTCCTAAAGCTCGTGTGTGTCAGCCTGCCCTTGAGCCCAGATGACACATGAATGAGCCGAAGCTTTCATGAAGAAATGCAGTGGAGCTTGAAGAGCCTTAGAAAAGGCTCAAACTCAGACTCCCCTCAATGGCGAGGCACAACCACAGCTGAAATTGTCTAAAACTTTCTCTTTGATTTCCCATTCACAAAACTTATAATCCCAGCTAAAAGAGGAAGGCAGGAGTTTTATTCTAATAAGGCCAGGCTCCAAGTATTTAGGTTCTCACAGTGAAGTTGGAGAAAAAAAGAAAAAGAAAGGTTTGGTGGTGCTTTTTAACTTAAAAAAGAGTCACGCTAATATTTCCCTTTGAAAAGAATTCAAAGTAGGTGCAAACAATGGTTTAATGTGGACCACACTTAAAAGGCAGCAGAATAATGGCTGGAATAGGCTGTACTTAAAAGACCTTAACCCTCATCTCCAGAGGCATTCCACCGTCATTTAGCATGACTTTGATGGCCTCTAGGTTCCTGAGGCGATGCTTCTCCTTAAGGGTAGACATTAACAGACATGGCCTCGGAGATTAGACACAAAAATCAATGGCTGGAGGGTGTCGTAATGGTTCTGTTCATCGATCGCTCGTGGCTGATGAAAACCAGGCTGCCGACAGGCTTGGCTCAGATTAGATGCAGCAGAGGCGAGTGAAATAAACCAAGCCACAGCGAGAAAATGCCAGCGTAGCTGTAGGACGTGACAGAACATTCTCTGCCGTGGACCAGCGGAATGCTCTTCCTCTGACTCAAAGCTGACACATGGCACTGTAGGAGTGACCCAACAGGAGGCGGCTTCATGCCAAGTCTGATCTGAGTAGAATCAGTGCCTCTACATTGATTTAGGACTAGCTTTTAATCCTTTATGTTCAAAAGGATGGAGTTCATTTAGCAGGATGTATGTGGGTCGTTAGCAAAAGTAGTGTTTATATGGCACTAATGTAGAACCACTTAGAACCAAAGAACTATTCATGTAACATCATGAAGCAGTCTACACAAATTTATGGATGCCCATCCCCACCAGGTATGGGAATTAAAAAAAATCTCAATATATTGACTTAATATCTCAAAATGAAGTGACTTTATGACTTATTGTCATAAAATAATTGCTTATTGTCTCAAAATGAAGAGTTTTGTTCCAAAATGCTGTACATCCATTTGTTTATTCATTATATTTTGGATACAAAGAGTTTTTGAAAAGAATAATATTGATGTTGAGGGAAAACACATTTTTATTTTTCCAGTAAATGTGATATTAATTGTAATATAGCACTGATTTATCTCATATGTGAAAAGCCTACTCCTAACTACATGTACTATATTATTATATTAAAAAATTCAACAGTGGTCTAAAACATGGTTTGCAACGAAATCCTTCAAAAATTGATGTAGCATTTCAATTACTTTTTTACTTATTTCCTTAAAATATTGACTTGAAATATCAAAATAATGACAAAAAAATTAATGACTCATTATTTCAACATAGCAAGTCAAAATGTTGAGGAAATAAGTCAGTATTTCAAGACACTAAGTCAAAATGTTCAGAAAATAATTCAATGTTTTAGGACACTAAGTGGAAATGTTGTGAAATTAAGTCAATATTTCAAGACACCAAGTCAAAATATTGAGAAAATAAGTCAATATTTCAAGACATTAAGTCCAAATATTGAGAAAATAAGTCAATATTTTAAGATCCCAAGTCAAAATGTTGAGAAAATAGGTCAATATTCAATATTCAACATAAATCAATATTTCAAGAAAGTCATTACTGCCCTGCCCTGCCCTGGTGAAACCTCTTCTAAAAAAGGGTGGCATGGATCCCTCCATACTAAATAATCTTAGACCGATTTCAAACCTACCTTTTCTAAGTAAAGTCTTAGAAAAAGTTGTTTTCAAACAACTAAATACGTATCTAATATCAAACAATTTATATGAGAAGTTTCAGTCAGGTTTTCGTTCTAACCATAATACAGAGACAGCATTGATTCGCGTTATGAATGACCTCAGGATCAGTGCTGATGCACAAAATCCTTCTATCTTGGTTTTATTAGATCTTAGTGCAGACTTTGATACCGTTGACCACAAGGTTTTACTCCAGCGTCTTGAATGCTGGGTCGGCCTCTCAGGCACATT